GTGATCTTAGGCAACCCATCTCATTTCCTTAAGCCTCAGTTTCCCCACCTATAGAATGGGATTGGATTCGATTGCCTCCAAGGTCTTTTTCCAGCTTCCAGATTTAGAATCTATAGATTACTTATGGAGATTCTCTCCTCTTGTAGTTTATGTGACATTGTACTATGCCTTTTTCTTCCTGTCTTTCTAGTAATGATATTGATTCTATTTCTTCCCAACTAACTTTAGCTGTTTTTCTAGAAAAACTGGATTTTTCTCTTCTTTATCCTACATTTCCAGGTTTTGACTATTAACTCTATTTAGATGACCATCAGATGTATATATCTTCCTTTGTGACTTCTCTTAATCCTGGACAATTCATTACTAGATATTCCATTTGGAGGGTACCTCAAACTTAGTATTTGTTGTTGTTATTGTTCAGTTGTTTTCAGTTATATATAATTCTTTGTGACCCCATTTGGGGTTTTCTTGGCAAAGATACTGGAGTGGTTTGCCATTTCTTTCTCCAGCTCATTTTACAGCTGAGGAAACTGAGGCAAACAAAGTTAAGTGAGTTGCACAGGGTCACACAGATAGTAAGTGTCTGAGACCAGATTTGAACTCAGGGAGATGAGCCTTCCTAACTTCAGGCCTGTCACTCTATCCATTTTGTCCCCTAGCTGCCCCAAATCTTCATGAGTAGTATCAAAACTGAACTCATTGTCTTTCTCCCCAAACTAGCTTTTTCTCTCAGCCCTCCTATTTTTGATAATGTTACTCACCATTCTTCCAGCTTCCAGGTTCAAAAGAGTATTCATTTTTTACATAGTATTTTCCTTTGCACGTGAAGGCCTATTATTGCTGTTCCCTTTGTGGCTTATTGATTCAATTTGATTCAATTAGAGAAACTTTATGAAATGCAAAGCACTGTGCCAGGTACTGGTATACAGAGATAAGATGGATGAGTTACTGGGAAGACACAGAAATACCTCAGGGTAAACTCCAAAGTTCTCAGATGATTTTCCAAATGTTCCTCCTCTCCTACCCACCAAATCTAGACAGATCCAACCTGGGCAAATTTGTCTCTTATTATTTGCCAACGTGAATCCTCTACTCTAGTCAGGCCTTATACACAATGTGCTCCAAACTCATTGCTTCCAATAACTGTTCATATTGTTCTTCTACCTTCTTTTCTGTCTAACCAAACTCAAATCATATCTACTCTATCAATTAAGCCGTTCCTCGCCCTTCCAGTTCATGCTGACCCTTCTTTTCTCTGAATTTCCATTACATTTATTTATTTTAATCACTTGCTAATCATTTACTACCTTCTAATTTTCCTTAGAATGGCAGCTAAGTGATTCAATAGATACAGCCTGGGTCTTGGAGTTAGGAAGACGCGATTTCAAATCTGTCCTTACACACTTACTAATATAGCAAGCCATTCCAGTATCTCTGAAGCCCTAGATGGGGTTAGGAAGTGTTGGGCATGACTGAAAAATGATTTTTTCTTAGTGGTCACTTAGTGGATCATGCAGTAGGCCTGGAGTTAGGAAGATCTAAGTTCAAATTCAGCCTCAGACACTAGTTGTGTGACCTTAGGAAAGTCACTCAACTTCTGGCTGCCTCAGTTTCCTTAACAGTAAGATGGGGATAAGGATAGAAAATATATCACAGGACTGCTTTGAGGATTAAATGGGATATTTGTAAAATTCTTAGCATAGTGCCTGTCACATATAATAAAAGCTTATTTCTTTTCCTTCCTTCCTTCCTTCTCCCCCATCAGATTACAAACTCCTTGATATTAGAGACCCTTAGATTACCACCTTTGACATCAGAGACTTTACTACTGTTTTACCTTCTACAATGCTACCTCCCCACAGCACCTAAATGAGTACTGGATATATCACAGGTGGTCAATAAATATTTATTGAATCAAATTGATTTAGACTTTTATGGCCAATTATCCTCTTATGCAACCCTGGATGCTCCCCAGTTAAATTTAAGTTAAACTGACTTTTACATTGTAATCTGTGATCTAGACCTCCCCATAAAGGTAGGCTTATAAGGACAGGGTCCGATCCTGGGGACCTAACCTAATGGAATCATTATATCTCTTTGCTTTTTGTCATTACCCTGAAAACTGGGGAAGTCTCTAGGAATAAAGCTTAGGTATGGCTTATCACTAGGTGTACCTAAATGTGCGTAAAAGTATTTAATTCTCACATAGGCATCCTGTGTACAATGTGGATGTCAAGTATGCAGCAGCCAAACACAGAAATATAAGGTACTCAAATAATTCATTATACTCATATCAAATTATGTAAAATAATTCATTATATTCATATCAAATAATTCATTATAATATATATATGTGTGTATATATATGTATATATGTGTGTGTATATGTATGTGTATATATATATATGTATAAACATTTTAGAAAATTGCTGAACAGATATTCCCTATTTACTTTGGAATTGCACCAAGCAAACAACTCACAACAATAGCAGAGCTGGCAAGGTTCAAGTTTCAAGGTTCAAATCACTTACTCCTTGCCCCATCCCAACACAGCTTTAATCCTTGAGCTTTGAGGTTGATTCTCTGTTGAGAATCTTCTTCCATCTCCAAGAAAGGTGATATTGAGGATATCTTCTCAATCTTGGCGGCTGGTGCCTGAAAACTGGAACTCAAAAATCTTGTACTTGGTTTACCCATGAGGTAACTTCCATAGCCGGTGCTCTCTGAAATCTCTCTGCTTTGGCTAGAAGGATAGAGTCTTGGATCATGCTGCATAGAGAATTCAAGAATCCTCTTTGTCTACATAGGAGATTGGAGCTCAGAAATAGTAAACTGTTTCCAGGCCAGAAGCAAACATATAATAAGTCCTCTGCTCCTACAGGGAAGGGGAAGGTAAACATCTTTTCACAAATGTAATGAATTATTTGCACGTCTTATGTTTCTATATGCTTATGAATGTCTTTTGGGAATTGAATAACTTCACAATGCTGAACTTAGGGGAGAGAGGTGGCCTCTGTGTCTCAATTATACAGCAATTCTAATCACTGCTGGGAGTAATAAGAGGCCTTCTCAGAGTATTTGTCTACCTTTATGGTTGGTGCCCTCCAGATAAAAGTCCATGCTCAGTAATCTTCTTGGGGGAAAGTAGTCAAATTGGTCAGGGACTACTTTGATCAACCTCCCTCTTACACCAGAAAAGACACTGGGGCTAAATGCCTGAGTAGTACCCCTTTAGCAAAGATTGATAATGACCACGAAAATACTCTTGGAGAAGAGAAAAATCTTCCCCATTCCTTAAAACTACAGTGGCTGGTTATAGCATCTGTCTATAGGTCTTAACCTCTTTCCCACCATTATTTTTCTAAAAAGGTAAGTACTTGGGGTGGGGGTGGAGGTGGGGGTGGTATAGTCATTTTTCTTTGGCAAGAAAAGCCGGTTTAATTTAAAACAAGAGGAGAGAAAATATGCTAATGCACAGCAAGCCTAGCCATTGCTATTCATTAGGAAGCCCCTTTGCAATGGTAAAGACCAGTGTTCCGTGAATTTGCAAAGGATTTCCCTTATACTAACATTCTACTGCAGTGATAAAAACACGGGAGCAAATCAGCCTCTGCCAATTTGTTTTACTTTTCTCCCTTAAGAATTCCTGTAGGAATAGGCATATAAAGGCTGTCCCAAAAATGTTAGTGCAGTGTTAAGCTTTACACTGTATGTCCCTATGGATGGCAGTGTTAAAATATACAAATCTCTTTGGAGACTCCATCATTAGGAAAACCTCTGTGACTACAACTTGGAGATTTTGTGAGTTTGAAGAATTCAGTGTCTTTACCCTCGAGCCATAGAATCTCTCGGTTGCATACCATCTGAGTCACAACCTCTGACATCTTTAACTAGAATAGCAAATGGCTGGGAACAGAACCAAGATGGAATATTAGCAGCCACTAGAGAGCTGAATTGGAATGCTGGCTCCAACCACAAATTGGTACGCAGAATTTATGTTTTTCATTATACTCCCTGCTGCAATGCTGGTGTCTAGCATTCCAATGCACATTCAGACTCATATTGAATTAAATTTTTAAAAAGCCTCACCCTAAATTTGAACGGTGTGAAGGGTCAGGCAGAAATCAACAAAACCCAGGAAATATAAAGGAAAAACCAGCTCTTTATTCTTTGCTGTTAGAAATGTGGTATCTGAGTCAACAGTTTAACCTGTTGTATATTAAAGATGCATAGTCACCCTGACTGCTAAAATCCTCCAGTTAGCTGTTTAGGCAAAGCCTTTGATTATATTTAAGTATACTGTGTTCTTCCATTGTGTGGTGTTCAGTGAAGACTAGTACCTGTGGTGTGAGAGCTTCCTGAGACCTTTTCAGGGCTGCTCATCCACCTTTGGGGTCCACCTTTCACCCAAATCTCCCTGTGGCTCTAAGAAGCTGTAGCATGAACAGTGGCCACACTCCGGAAAAACCATCTCAGCAGATGGGCTAAAACCAGGTTGAGGGTGACTGACAGGCTTCAAACCTGTTGCTGAGTTAGGGGGGTGTCTACTCCAAGCATGTGAAGACTGCCTCCCCATCAGAATGGGCGGAATGGAACAATTTGTTCCAATGGTTATAAAGGAGGCTGAAGCAGGCACTGTGGAGTTCTTAGAGCTTGCTTAGATATCAAAGACACCAAGGTCATCCACTGCATCTTGGGCCATCGCCAATAAATTTGATTTTTGTCCTGCCACTGGACTTTGATGACTCTGAAAGAGAGAGTGAAGCTGTTGACTTTGTGAAACTCTGCCTCACTTAAATCCATTTGATATACAAGTCAAGACATCACCCCATGATGCTATTGGCCCTCTCTGAAATGAAGGATACAAAACAATTGTTTCCTCATGAAACACATATCTACTTAGATATACGTGTGTGCTCATACACATATTTCTAGAAATAGAATATTTAATTGTTTAACATATACACTCACATTCTCTTGTCTATGTCTTATAATTCAAGGCCCAGACTGGCTAAAGATAAACCAAAGTAAGAAACAGAATATGGAAAAGATCTGTGAGACGCAATGAAGTAGGGTGTAAAGGACTCTGATCTGAGTTTCAGCCCTGGCTCAACAATTTAAAACTAAGTGACCTTGGGTAAGTCATTTAAGCCTCATTTTTCCCATCTGAAAATGAAGAAAACAATATTGATTCCACCTACCTCCCAAAGTTGTTGCAAGAGACCACATGAATGAAATAATAATGTGAGAGTTATTTCACTTTACAATGCTATATAACCTTAAAGTGTTATTATCTCTTTCTAATCCTGAAACTGAACAGGAATCTTTTTGCTAAACCACAAAAAGTACTGAACAACTGAATTCCACATGATCACTCTTATTACATAAATACAGTGGGTTTTGGGATTAACCATAATTTAGCAGTTATAACATAAATGCTGCACTAGATCTATCTTGTGAATGGGTGAAGTAGGAACTGCTCACATGGAAAAATTTAGGGATAAGGAAACATCCTTTTCCCCTGAATATTTGTCATTATTCAGTCATTTCAGCTGCGTCCAACTCTTTGTGATCCCATTTGGGATTTTCTTTCTTTCTTTCTTTCTTTCTTTCTTTCTTTCTTTCTTTCTTTCTTTCTTTCTTTCTTTCTTTCTTTCTTTCTTTCTTTCTTTTTTTGATGAGGCAATTGGGGTTAAGTGACTTGCCCAGAGTCACACACCTAGTGACTGTTGTGTGTGTGAGGCTGGATTTGAACTCAGGTCCTCCTGACTCCAAGGCCAGAGCTCTATCCACTGTGCCACTTAGCTGCCCCCAATTAATTATTTACTTGTTGAATTCCTTTATGTTCTTCTTGTTTTTTGTTTTTGTTTTTTGGACTAGGTAATGGGGTTACGTGACTTGCCCAGGGTCACATAGCTAGTAAGTATTACGTGTCTGAGGTCGGATTTGAACTCAGGTCTTCCTGAATCCAGGGCCGGTGCTCTATTCACTGTGCCACCTAGCTGCTCCTCATTTGGGATTTTCTTGGCAAAGATATTGAAATGATTTGCCATTTACTTCTCCAGCTCATTTTAGGATGAGGAAACTGAAGCAAATAAGGTTAAGTGACTTGCCCAGGATCACACAGCTACTAAGTAGTAGCTAAGTTTACTAAGGAAGAAAGTGAGTCTTCCTGACTGTAGGCCCAGCACTCTATCCACTGGGCCACCTAGCTGCCTCATATTCCCCTGAATGTAGCTCCCCTTGGGCTTGTATGTAAACTGTGACCATGCCAACGTTCATCTGGTTGGTGCTGATATCTTTACTAGGAAGAAATATAAAGATATATGTTCTTGCACTCACAACATGGTTGTGCCCAATATCGAGAGAAATGACTTCCAGATAGTTGTGATCCAAGATGGTGGCTACTTAATGTTGCTTCAGGAGAGTGGGAAGGAAGGTTGAGGGACCTGTGTTTGCCTGAGGTTGAGCTTGATAAAAAGATTGAGCAAAGATCCTGATAATGGTACCTGTCATGACAAAGGAGGGTAGCTTTTACAATTAAGGCCATGACAAAGTAATTGGTCCCTACAGATCTAGAGCCTGAAAAGGCCTTTCTCATTCTCCCCAACCCATCCTAGCTGGGTACCTATTTTATTTCTTTAATGTTTTATTTATTTTTTCCTCTCAATCCACTCCTCCCACTCATTAAATCAGTCATATCTCTCCTCCAACCCCTTGAACAAGGTGGGGGCAGGGCCTTGGTAAAACTGTTCCCTTTTCTCCCTCACCTCACACTATAACTCTGGTTGAAGAGAGGTATGGGGGCTCCTTGAGAATTTTTTCTTTTTCATTAACTTCACTTGAAAGCAGGAAGCTGCCAATTTTGTATTCTGGGAAAATCTTCTGCCCCTTTTCCCTACCTATCCTATTTCGTTCCCTGAATTCCCTAAAGCTTACCTAGCGCTATTCCCTTTTCTAACATGAAACCAGAAGCCTTTCCACTTTGCTCCCTGCATTTCCTCCCAAATCTCTGAAATGTGAGGATTAGACTAGAGGTGGTAGGGGCACTAGTCTCCTCCTAAGGCATGCAGAAGGACCTTTAGTACTCATGAGCTCCTTCCTTCCTAGCGGTTTTCTCCCTAACATATTTGTTAAAATCAGATTTGAATAAAATTACAAGTTTAATATGAAAAAAAAGAAAAAAGAAAAACAAGCAAACAAAGGGGATAGGAGGGATAAGAAGAGCCAGAAAAGGAAGGTGAAATTGAGGAATCTAGGTCAAACCTGGTTTACTTCAGAGTTTACATGGGGCTTGCCCTGCTTACATAGTCAATAAAGCACACCACAAGATTATGAATCAGTTCCATCAATCATTCTACATAAGGTATAAAAGTAATATTCATCTGCTAGAAGGAACAATGTGATGATGTCCTAGCAAAGACCCAGTTTTCATGACTAGTCTCTTCTAGCACTTCTTGCCAAATGTAATAGAATAGAGGTTGGGAGACTAGTATTTGTGAAAGTGGAAAATGCCCTCTGCCCAGAGGTACTGGACCAGGCATTTACGCTTATAGAACCCTGTAGTCTTAGGATATACCTTAGCAGCCATTTGGTTAACTAGATCATTTTACAGGCGATGAATCCAGGAGTATGCTGGTAAATGTTTAACAAGTGACTCTCCCTCCAAATTACCAATGATACATTTTTATGTTTAATCTGCATTATCAATATTTTCTTCAACACTTTCTTAAGTCTAAATAAGTGGTATCGAACTCAAATAGAGATAGGTTTGCTAAACCATCCATAAGGCTCTCTGAGGACTACAAATTGATTTAGAAAACCACAAATTACTATTATGTATGTTTTATTATATTTTTATTTATTTTGTGAAATGTTTCCCAATTACATTTTAATCTCTCTCAGGCCACACTCAGAAAGGCCAAGTGTTTGACACATCTGGTCTACACAGTCAAAAAATTATAAACCAAATCCTGATATTAAAGGATAAATTATAAACAATCAACAGACAGAAGACACTAAAATTAAGGGGGATTGGGAAAGGCTTCGTATATTAGGTGGGAATTTAGTTGGGGCTTAAAGGAAGCCAGGGAAGCCAAGAGGTAGAGGTGAAAAGGGAGACCATTCCAAGCATGGGGGACAGCTAGTGAAACTGACCAGAGTAAGGAGATGGAATGTCTTGTGTTAGAAAATTTAAGGAGGCCATTGTCACTGGATCACAGGGTATTGGGGGGAGGGAAAAGGGAGTAGGTTGTGGTGTAAGGAGAAAATTTTCCTGTGATTCTGTATGACTGTGATTCATAAGATTCAGTACATATGTGAGGTACTGAATTCAGCTATGGGTGTCATATTTACGAAGAACATTAACAGACCGGAGTGTTGCAGAAGATGATGATCAGGGTGGTTATGGGACTGGAGATAATGGGGATTGGTGGAGGGAACTGGAAACAATTTGTCTGGAAGAGACTTGGAGGTGGGAGGAGTCAAGATGACAATCTTCAAGCAATTGAAGGATAATCAAGGGATTAAACTCATTCTGTTTGATCCCAAAGAGTGGGCTTCTGAGTAGACAGGGTAGAAGTTGTAAATGAGCAGATTTTGTCTTGACATAAGGAGAAACTTCCTAATAATTAGAGCTATCCAAAAGTGAAATGAACTACCTTGGAGAATAAGAATTTTCTGATACTGGAGCTTTTGTATTAGAGTCTGAATGGCCGCTTGAGGATTTAATTTTATTCATTTTTTTCTGGAGGCAATTCAGGTCAAGCGATTTGCCCAGAGTCACACAGTAAGTGTCTGACGTCAAATTTGAACTCAGGTCTTCCTGACTCCAGGGTTGGTGCTCTATCCACTGGGCCACCTAGCTGCCTTCACTTAAGGATTTTATAGCAAGATTCCTACACAGGCATGGTTAGACTAGATTGGAAATTTCTCAGAGTGTAGCCCGCAGACCTCTGGGAATCTATGAGATTAAAAGGGTCTCTAAGACTCTTATTATTTTCATGATAATAAATACTAGGATGCTATTTCCCTATTAAAATGCTATTCCCTTTCCCAACAACATATCTGTGTGAGATCAGTTTTCTTCAACCAAAACAACATATCATAGTCTATTAAATGTAGACACAAGTATGAGAATTCAGCTGTCTTCTATTAAGTCAGACATTAAAGAGATTTACAAAAATATGTAAAAACAATGCCACTCTTCTCAATACACTTTTTTGTGTTTGAAAATAGAGTTCAGATATTTTTATGAAATATTATGTTAACACATAATGCATTTATCATTACTTTTAAATGAGTTAACAAATAAATATTTTTAAATGGTTTAGTTTTAATTTCTAAATAGGTATAACCCACATAGACAAAAGCTCTTTGTGGTCCTCAATAACTTTTAAGAGCGTAAAGGTATTGTCAATAATTATTGAATGTAAAGTGCCTAAGACTAAACAGTTTGAGAACTGCTGGACTGGATGACCTCTTAAGTCCCTTCCAGCTCTGAGATGCTGATTGTCAAATACTGTCATGAGGGCAAGAGAACTACTGCTTTTCTTAGTGAAAATGATGAGACTGTTATTCTCTGGTAAAAAAAAGAAGGAAGGAAGGAAGGAAGGAAGGAAGGAAGGAAGGAAAGAAGGAAGGAAGGAAGGAAGGAAGGAAGGAAGGAAGGAAGGAAGGAAGGAAGAGAAAACTTAAGCATTTATAATATGTGTGAAGCACTATACTGAGCACTGGGTATACAAATAAAAAAATGAGACAGTTCTGCTCTCAAGGAGTTCAAAATCTAACAGGGGAGATGATATATATTGGAGGCTTAAGCTGCACGGTGAGTAGAAAGCTTTGGTGGTCTTTAGGAGGAAGCTGCAGGACAGATGGTAAGGCCTGGTGGTCCTCAGGGAACAATGGCAGAGCAGATGCTAAGGCCTGGTGGTCCAGATGGCAATTAATCCAATTTGGCTGGCACGTAGTACGCAAACGCATTTTCTTTAATGTCATTTCAATTGATAAAACCACGTCTGTTTCGCAGTGCCAAGGACTTTGGTGGTGAGAACTTTCTTTTCTGGGTCTTCTGTAGGTGTGGCAGTGCCAGCACAGGCAGTTACCAGGTCTGTGCCTCCACTGGAGCGCTCCCAAAGA